GTATAAGTAATTTAGACAGTCGATCTGTTACTAATTTGTCTTGTGAGTTAATTGCTGGTCTGAGATATTATGTAATCAGTACGAGCCTTAGGTTTCTCATTGTAGTTTTCGCGATTCATCATAAGATTGGATCGTTCCTTATCAGCCGAAATTGCTATCATATTTTTGCCACTCACGCGTCCTTTCATAAGTTGTAACGCACTCTGCAAAAGGCATTGGGTTGGTATTTTCGTTATCAGCAAGCGGGCAAAATGTCGGACGGATTTTTTTGTTGTTGGTTGTTTCAGCTTACCAGAATAGCCACCAGAACTGATGTCAAATTTACCTAGTCAGCATCTATGCTGTTAAAATAAGTGTAGTGTCGCAGCAGTCGAAGTTGCTGCTTTGTAAGCCGTTTGGACTAAAGGTTGTTGACAAAGTATGAGCCTCTTCTTTCTGTTGGTTTTAACTTATTAAGTTTCCATTTCCAAACACCTTCTTTTTGACCTGCCTGTGATGTGCCAAAGCGATGATAGTCTTCCTAAGGTCATCGGTAATCGAATCTTCGAAAATGAGGAAGCGCACTATCATATCCTCCTCAATCGTAGGCTTATACTTTTGCAGACATCGTTGGCAGTCGTCGACCAGAAATCTCGTCATCCGCTTGACAAATCTTCTTACAACTTCTCTGCCCATAGATGTATTAACGGGGACCTCATATCGTAGGCGTGTTGGCGTCAGTCCTTTCTCGAGACATTCATTAACAAAACGGGCCTGTTTGTATGTTTCTGCCTTTCTTGTTGGAGGATGTCTTCCAGCTGCGAGTAGGCTTAACTATTGATTAAATATTGACAGTGTAACCAAAAACAAAGGAGTGTTTAACACGTTATCTGAGAGGAAACTGTCTATTTTAGAGATCTAATTTTACAATGGAGACCTTATTAAACCCTTTGTTTCAAATCTATTATACACAGCCAAAGGACTTCGAATTACTAGATCCCCACTTTTAATAAGGGTCGTACGTGTAGCACTTTGTCAAAGACTTTACAAAGATTGGGATAAATATATAAATAAATAAACAGATAAATTATCTTTGTGAAGGGGGAATGGTTGAACACTGAAAAGATATGGAAAGCCTCAAAAAACCGATCAGAAAGGACACTACATTGGAAAGATCTAAGAAGTTAGTTGGCAAGAAAAAATCCTTTATTGCGGTCATAATTATATTTCGCAGTCAAGCCAGGACTTCATAGTGCCTCCATGCGCTTAAAATATGAAAAAATATTATTATTTCCCCACCAGCTGACAACTTTTCCGAACAGTGTTCCAACAGACTCCGCCAAAATTGAGTAACGATTGTCAACTCGAGCCTGGGGTACCCATGACTTTCGTTCATACCCTAATGAAAAAAAGACGACGAATTGAGTGGGGACACAAATCATCCACGAAAGTCTGTTAGCTCGTTAAACAGTTTACGTTGATGAGCTTTGATAAAATAAAGCTCATTGCTCGATCAGACCTCAGAAAATTTTTCTTCAGCCAACGAGTGGTACGACCTTGGAACTCGCTACCAAGCGAGACGGTTTCGGCGAGACCATTGCTGATTTTAAAAGAAGACTTCATGGCATTTAATTTGACAAAAGGCGACTATCACAACATGATTTCTTATTGCCGGAACTGTCAACAGTTTTCCTGCCTCTAGACTGTTTTCATACTGCTTCGCATTGTTCCGCGACAACTAATTCGAATGCGCGTCTTGCTAAAACTTCACATTGACTATAACAATGATATGGTTTACTTTACAGTAAAAGGGTCCTCAAGGGCATTCTTTGCCTGTAACCCTTAAAATATACATATACATATACATTATGCCATTCAAATCTTTTCCTCCCTTTATTTGATACAAATCGAAGAACTACGTTTTCCGAAACTGAGGCCACAGAAAAAATCATATGACCTGTAGTCAACAGTAGTGTCCCCTCCGGTTCGTCTGCCGCTTCCAAAAATCAAGATCGCTAGCAAACACTAGCATTTGGTCCTTCACACAGTTCTGTCAATTGACCAAATATAGCGGAATTAGAAGTGGTATCGTACCTCCAAGTGGAAGAAACCGACAGTACCCATATAAAAGCCAAGTCAGATAGCCCTTTTATTAGGCTCCCAGTCACATAAAACAAAGTAGCGCAAATAGCATCCACCTATGCAGGACCCCAGTTAAAGCTTCGGCGAAGCCAATGGACACTGAATGTACTGCCAAGTACTATTCTAACTAAGTGGCCTAGCTTTTCATGAAGATTAACCGATCAGTAAGGCAGAATATTCTGTTTTTAAGGTCAGGACGGCGAACAGGTTTCGTCTTCGGTTTATTGAATTCATTCTTTTTGTGTGGAATGGAAGGCTTGTTGTTTAGCTGGGCAGCGAAAGCTGTCCAGGCTCTGAAGGGAAACGCTCAAGGTCACAGATGACAATTTTTTATAATATCAATCTGCTATGGTCTCCCACGATGGATCTACGACGGAATCAGATCTTGTCCAAGTGATCGCATGTTTCTTTTGATATTTTGGGCTCTTTATCCTACATAGCTAACTTATACCAGCGGCTTTTGTATGAACCAATCAATATTCAGATAAGGTCGTCCCATCCGCCACTTTAGCAGCGGCCACGCTTAAAAATGCCACCAAAGAGGAATAGGAGAAATGTGAGCGATGACGAAGATGATGCCCCGGTTCCCAAAGAAATACCCGAAAAGCATAGTTCTGACGAAGACCGCGCAAAAGGTAGGGGAGGGAAGAAGGCAGCAAATAAAAGGTCCAAGGACAAAAATAAGTCGGCGACTGTGAACGAAGCTTCTGCCCCTGTTCCTGAAGCCACCGGCAAAACTAAGGGAAAGCCCAAAAAAGGCCGTAAGGCTGTTGACTCGGATGACGAGTCTCCGAGGCAGAACCAGACGGCTGTGCCCGAGGAGAAACATTCAAATGATGACGACAAGCAGCCAGCCGGGGCGCAAAAAAATACTAAGAGGGGAGGTGGAAAAAATCGTCGAAAACATTTTGACTCAGATGAAGACGAGGAAGAAGCGCAGGCGCCTTTGCCATCAGGCAGAAATAAGGGACGGTCAATGGAGGATTACGAGATTGACACCCAGCGCAAGCAAAAAAATCCAAAGCCGGGCAAAAAGCAGAAGGCGCATGCACCATCAGAAGATGAGGATGATGAGCAAGACATTCCAAAACCAACTCTCAGTGAAATGGGAGCATTTGAGGTAGCAGAACTTGCAGACGATAATATCGATGAGGACTTTTACAAAAAGAAGCGGAGAGCAAATCGCGGTAAGGCTGCTCCGAAAACGTCCGCAAAAGATAAAACAGCTCAAAAAGTCGAGGCTGAAGATTCAGCAAACGAATCAGATACCGAGTCGAAGGGTGTAGCAAAAAAGAATAAAAAGGCTCGTGGAAAAGTTGAAGATGAAGATTCAGCAAACGAATCAGGTACCGAGTTGAAGGGTCTACCGAAAAAGACTAAAAAGGCCCGTGGAAAAGATCATCCCGAAGATGAGCTAGTTTCAAAACTGGCTGATGTACATTTGGATGAAAGTGAGCCCCCAGTAAAAGATCAGCCGTCAAGACATCAGACACCTACAGACTCGCTGATCGAGAAGGTAGCAACAGCTGATGCCATGGAAGAGGATGCGTCCGCAATACCATCATTGGCGAAACCCAAGAAATCTAAAAAACTGTCCCGCTTTGAGGAGTTAATCACTAAACCTCCGTCCCCACCGCCATCACCACCTGTGGTTCACGCGGAAGAAGAGGTCGCACCTCTGTCAAAAAAAGATAAAAAGGCAAAGAAAATGGCTGCCCTTCAAAAGGTCTCTGTGACTCCTCCAAAATCGCATGAGGAAACGGAAGAAGCAGATCAGGAAGTTGTTGAAGAGCCCAAAGAGGAAGTCGCCCAGCCCGAGGTTCCTGAAGAACAACCAGAGGACGCTGTTGCCGTTGGGGAGCCTGAGCGGCCTGTCGTAAAAATGTCGAAAAAAGAGATGAAAAAGCTAAAGAAGAAGGAGCAGTTCGATATTATGGTTGAATCGGCGACGGAAAAAGCTATTGCATCGATGGGCACACTTGATAATTTCGCTTTGGCACAAGTGAGTTGTAAATTTGTGATTAGCCCCTCGTAAAACGTACATGCAGGATTCCTAAACCTTGTTTTTTTATTTGTCAGGCTTCATCTCGAAGCGCAGTCCAGGAAAATTCGCTCGATATTAAACTTGAAAACTTCTCCATCTCCGCGAAGGGCAAGGAACTCTTCGTGAATGCTTCTCTCCAAATTACTAATGGTCGTAGATACGGCCTGTGTGGACCAAATGGGTATTTATTATTCTTGTTATTCTTATTTTAATGCACCGAGACAGCCTTTCGTTATTTATGCCCGTGTTCATCAGCTGCTGTCAAGTGAATCATTTGTAGTGGATGACTAAGCGACAACTAACTGTCTCGTTTTTAGTAGTAGTCCGTGGGTTCTACAGTGGTACTAGTGTTGACTGTACATAATACCTCATCTTGTTATCATGACTTTGAACCTCACCGATACCGCCAAGTTTTGACTGTTGGGTAAAAAGAGAGTCTCGGTTCTTCAGCTTACAATATGAAGGGAAAACTTGTTTCGCTACTCTTTTACTCGCTAATCGGAGATAAGGAAGCGTCGGTTGCTTGAACTTTTGCGCCTTTAACGCCCGTAAGCATATCCGATATATCTAAATTTGGTGCTGTTGCGAATAGTACTTTGCTACACTTGACAATCTGTGCAAACTTACCCCAGAGGCCTGACTGACTTTGCCTAGACCATGTGCCGAAGGTCCGGAAACCACCTCTATGTCCTGGCACATTTTGGCTTAGCCTCTTCGTCGCCGCAGGAGTGGTGGACCAAACTTAGCAGCACTGAAATTTTCAGCTGGACGACGAAGAACATCTACAAAAAACCCAGTACTCCTTTTTATGTGGCCTGGGCAATCCTAGCTGGGTCCCAACTAGTGTTCAAGTCTCCCGTTCAACATGAATCCAGTTTACTTCACTCAAGGGATGATTCTCAGGAGACGGTGTTCAAACTTCCAATTTTTGTCCGCCTTACACGCGGATATCTCAGGATTATAGAAGGATTGCTGAGAGAATGTCCGGTATAGTCGCATCTTCATGGTGATAGAAGTATGGCGTCGGATATGAAGACTGGCAGCAGCAGCGTCGATTCGAAGAGCGATGTCGTGTCAACACTATGTAGTGCCGTTCCGAGAATTCAGACAATGGCGTTCTTGAACAGAGTGGGCGAACGCCTGCTCAAATATTGAACAGCTAACTGTACGGTCATCGTTTGAATCATAGGTCGGTCGAGGAACCACGTGTTGGCGACGACCTTCGGCTCTGGGCAGCAAAGCCATTTATTCATTGCCTGTCTACCCTA